ACCCACCTTACCCGCCCCCCCCGCTGAGTGCACAGATTTTTGTGCACTGGGCCTCTAGTGTTCTATAATAACATGCAAAAACTGTAAGAGGTTACCTTCAGAAACTTTAATTTCTTAAGCATGCAAATCAAAAATCTACAATAAAGTTTCTTACTTTTAAGCCAAATTCTGCCCCATTAGCCTGGCTAAGGAAACGTTCCGCCCGACTTACAGATCGCGACTTCTGCAGCTGATCGTGGGCTTTGGTGTGCGGTGAAACGGGAACCCTTTCCCACCTTTCCGGTGAACCTGCGTTCTTCCGCTCCAGGCGAAGTCTTCACTTCCCAATTTCCCGCTGAGGCACCAGACGTTGTGTGTTTGTTTCCCCCTCGTCAGCGTGGCTCAGGGCTCAGGATCTGGAAGAGGGGCCGCACACAAATGAAAGAGCAGAGACAAGAGATCATTTGGGAATATTGGGGGGCCGGGCGGGCAAGTCCAACTCCAGGGGAAGGACCTCCACTGGTGCCCAGGCCTCGCCGGCATGTTATTCAGCTTTGGTTACACATGAAGCCCTTAGGCAGGCAGGTAACTGCGGCAGCAGACAGACCGTCTTAAAGGTCAGTAAACATTAGAAGGATTCACTCTGAGACTATTTGATCGGGAAATAGTTTGAGCCCCCATTGTCAGGACTAGACACTTGGTGCATAACTCAGGCCCTGCCGTGGGTTCAAGGGTCACCAGCCTTCCGGGACCCTTGTGTGCACTTCTTGCTAGTGAAGACCATGGGCAGCCTCCCACAGACCGCAGCCCAGCATTTTGTGGACAGGACTATGACTTTGGAAAGTGCTTTGTGATCACATATCTCTTGCCCCACATGTCTAACAGTAAAGGAATGGTTCAGTAAAAAACACACAAAAAAACAAAAAAACCCTGTGGCTGGTGAGCTGAAGGGTTGTTGGCTTGGGGGGTGGACACGGCTGAGTTAATCTCCAACCCCGAGAAACCCCGTGGCCGCTCCAGCTCCAGCTGTGCTGTGTGACCCCCTCAGGCCACTCACCCTCTCTGAGCCTGCAGCAGAGTGAGCTTGTGGCCGCACTTTCTGAGCTGCGTGTCCCAGGCCGGTCGTCCTCACCGAGCCCCGTCTTAGTCCCCGGGCCGCCCTGTCCCGTGCCCTGCCTGGTCCCGGGGTGAGCTCAGGGCTGTCCCCCTGCTCCTGGGACTCGCTGCCCAGCGCGTGGCAGCCCTGGGGGCAAGCCTGCGTGGGGACACAGTGACAGGGTTCGGGGCTCTGTTCCTCTCCCGGTGGCTCCGGGCAGGTCCGGGCCTGCCCGCTCGGGCACTGCCAGGCTGTGGCTGCTGCGCCAGGGACCTGGAGATGCCACCTCAGGCTGCGGAAGTGGTTCCTGCTCCTCCCCCACCGCGGGGCCAGAGGCCACCCCCTCCTGGGCATGGAGGCTCTCGTGAGGGGCACTGGTCAGGACCCAGGCCCCCAGCCCCTGAGCCCCTCCCATA